GTAGATGTGGCTGTCGGTGACACAGATGTAAAGGCAAATGTAGATGATGTAGATCTAAATACAGATGTAAGTAGATATCAATATAGATGCAGATGTGCATGGCACAGTTGTAAACATGGATGCAAGTGGTGTGGATGATATTGATTAGGGTTTCTCAACTTCAGCACTATTGGTAATTTGGGCTAGATCATTCTTTGCTGTCAGGGGCTGTCCTGTGCATTTTCCTAGATGCCAAGGGCACTCTCTGCACCACAAGTTGTGACAATAAAAACATGTTTCTGGATGTTGCCGATCTCCAGGTGTAGATGATTGAAGAGTACATACAATCATATTGCTCTAAACATAGATATCGATGACATACTTGATACAGATAATGTAGATGGTATAAATGTCAGTTTTATGATCTGGGCAGGAAACTGTAGATGTTAATGATGCAGATGACATAGATTAGGTATTGGTTATGAAATAGGTATCTAGACAGATCAATATGAAAAAAATTTTCTCAACTTAAATTTAAGTTCTTTGAAAGTAGGAACCATGACTTTATAGTCATATCTCCCAGAGCAATTTGGAAGTATTCTTTAATGATCTGATGGTTATTTAATTAGTTCTAGCTCTTAAGAGCCAATAAAGTTATCCTTTGTATTTCAAGTATGTTTTCTATTAAGAAAAGAGATTGTCTTAGGAATGTTTGTGGTAATTTAAAATTTCAAGTTATAAATGTATGTGGGTAAATATTTAATACACTTAAAACCTAGCCTGCATATATTTCCCCAACATTTTATTTTGAAAAATGTCAAATATGCAGAAAACTTGATAAAAATTTACAAGTAAGACCTGCATACCTACCAGATTTTACCATTAACATCTACCATTAGCTCTTGAATATCCATCTACCCACCATCTATCCATTCATCTATCAACCTTATTTGTTAATGGGCATTGTTGAACTTGCATGCTGAGTTGTGTGTTTGCATTGGTCCATAACTGATTGGAAACTAAATAAGGGTCCTTCACTACTGATCACTGAAGAAGCAATGCTTTAGCACACACACACAAAGGAGAGTGAGGGGAACAATAAAAAGAATGGCAGAAAGCTGACTGCTATTGAACCTAGGTAATGGGCAGGTAGCACAATTCTCTCTTCTTTTATGAAGGTTTTAAAATCCACATCCTTTGGTTTATTAAAAAGTAAAAAAACAAACAAAAAAACTCAGCCTGTTCATGGAGATATTTTAAATATACACATTTTCAATGCATATATTTATAGCTAAACATAAAGTATATGTATGTGTGTGTGTCGAATAAAATAATATAGAAATGATACATAGAATACATAGTTCACACAGGGATTTTATGTAATGGTTCAAGTAAAACTTTACAGAAGTCTTAGGTGGGTAAACAAACAGAAAGTAACTTCCTGGATCATGAGCTCGGTGAGCTTTTATTATATAATAAATTCTGCTTATGTAATAAACTCTTTGAGGTCAAGGATCCTGTGAGATACCACTTCTGTGTCTCCACAGCACTTAATCCAGGGTACTGCAGAGTAAATGGTACTTAATAAACATTGGCTGATGGGCCACACTCAGGAAATGAATTGTGACGAACAGTAGTTTAATTCTCCATGCAATAACGCCACACCGCTCAATCAATTGGAAAATCAGTTTCCTGAATCCGCCCTCATGGAGATTTGCACAGAATGTTTGAGCCTGAGGGAGACTTGGAGCTTTGCTAATGTCCTCATTTTGCAGAAGGAAATGAGGCCCAGAGGGATTATATGAGCCTCACTGAACATCCCACTTGTTAATGGCCGAGTTGCTGCCTCTGACGCCTACACTTGGACTCTTGCTTTTGCCATGATGTCTCTCAGAAGGTACAATTCCACCTCCCACCCCCACCCCTTGCTCCTGGCTTAAAATTCATGGCTTCAGTTACAGGAAAGAGCAAGAACTTGACAAGCTGGCTCCACCAGGAGGCTGAACAGGAGACATGACTGCAGAACAGCTCATGATCAGTGTTTGCCCAGCACTGTTCTGTGCTGAGCCTGGGGAAGATAAGCACTCTGTCCATTGGAAGGAAGATGGACACATGTTAATAGAGGATGGTCCTGCTGTGTAGGATTAAAGCATAAATCAGTAGAGCAGAGCCGTGGGGGCTGGAGAAAGGATGGAATGTTTTGGAGGCCATAGAGCAGCGGTTCTCAACCTGTGGGTCGTGACCCCTTTGGGGGTCGAACGACCCTTTCACAAGGGTCGCCTAAGACCATCGGAAAACACATATATAATTACATATTGTTTTTGTGGTTAATCACTATGCTTTAATTATGTTCAATTTGTAACAATGACATTGGGGGTCACCACAACATGAGGAACTGTATTAAAGGGTCGCGGCATTAGGAAGGTTGAGGACCACTGCCATAGAGCTTGGATATAAGGATCTAGGACTGAGGAGGGGGCAGGACAGCCAGGTTAGAATAGGGTGGACCTGGGTCAGTGCTTCACCCTGCGGGTGTTAAGGAGCTTGGGAGGTTTCTGTGGGGGACGGGATGGGATCCAGTACTGACTGGATTTAGGAAGACCAGTGTGTGAGAGAGGCTGGCAGCAGCGAGAACCTTGAGGAGGGCTTTCCGGAGATGAAAGCTTGGAGCAGGTGACAGCAATGGCAAGAGGAAGAAAACGGCAGATGTAAAAATGGTTTGCTCGGGCCAATGTTTCTCAAAAAGCAATGGGAGAATAAGGCCAGTGGGTTGCAAACAGGCAAACATGCCTGAGTCTGGTCCACAAGCTTCTTGGACTAAAGAACCATTTCTCCCAAAGGGCTGTCGTTTGGATCACCATAGCATGTTCTTTCTCTGAACTTGAACTTGTTGGGAACATTGAGTTCTCTGACCCATAGGGAGAGTGATGTTCCCGTGGAGAAGAAAGTGGAGGGAGGCGCCATTGCAACGTGGCCTGCGAGAATGGAAATAGAGGGAGGAAAAGATGATTAAAATACCAACAGTGTCATCTGCAACTTTTATAGTCTTATTTTTTACATTTAGATCTTTAATCCATCTGGAATCTGTGTTTGTGTATAGTGTGATGTGAGGATCTGTTGATTGAATATTTAGGAATTCAAACTTTACGAGTATTTTGAAATGTTACCCTGAACACATACTAAATTTCCATGAATATTTTCTTATTCTCTTGCTTAAAATCCAGAAATCATTTCCTATGGCCTTTAGAATAAAATTCAAATTCCTTGCCCTGGCTTAAAAAGCCCTCGCCTGCTTCTGAAATTCACCTGCTATTCTGCCCCTGTATGCTGTGCTCCAAACACGGGACTTCCTTCTGTCCAGCTTGAGCTCATTTCAGGCTGAGTTTCGCACCAGCTCTGCAAATGCTCCTTCCTCTTCCCGATGCTCCACTCCAGCCTTTGTGCAGCTGGTTCTTGTGACTCCTGCAGCTCTCGGCTCAAAGGCTACTTCTTCAGTCTTTCTCAGACCACCCAGCCTAAAGCACCCACCCAGGCACTAACCATCTCATCCTTGGTGACCCCAGAGCATCTAGAATTCATTTTGATATCAGGAGTGAGGTGAGGAGTCAGGCTTTTTCACTCTCCCCTTCCAGTGTGGGAAGCCAGTTACTTTAAGACCATTTGAAAAAGGAAAGGAAAGGAAAGGGAAGGAAAGAAAAGAAAAGAAAAAAAAAGAAAAGAAAAGAAAAGGAGAGAAAAAAGACCATTTGCTAAAAAACTTAATCTTTTCATTATGCATTTGAAATGCTAGCTTCATCATATACCCAGTTTCTCTTGCATTCATATCTATTTATGGACTGAATTCTTTTTCTTTTCTGTTTTATTGCTGCTTTAATTATTGTAGAGTTAAAATGTTTTCATATTTGATAAGGCTAGACCCTGCTTTTTAATCTTTTGGCCATGCATGCATGCTTTGCTTTTAAAAAAGATTTGCACTATGGGTGCAAGGTAAAGAGAGGCAAAGCTAGATGTGGGTTCACCTGATGGAAGTTTCTCACAGCATTCCAGGAGAGGGATGGTGGGAGACATAGAATAGCTTGCCTAACCCATTGTAGTCTGAATTTCAGTCATTTCCAGTATACCACTTTTATAATTTTGACACACCTATGTCACCTGAGCTATTATTAATTTAACACTTTCAAAAGTTCAATTCACTTTTATATTTTAAATATTTATATTAGATTTATTCTATGTAATATCTGTAGAAGCATAGATTAGACATAGTAGTTATATTTCTCTAATATATTAAACTGAATAGACAACAATGAAAATAAACGTTGTTTGTGCATAGACATTATTTTGTGTACTACCAGCAGTTTGAGAAACACTGGTCTGAGCAAACCAGTCTCCTCAGTTTTCCAGGTGAAAATTTCCACTCAGAAGGGGCCACAGGGACTAGCTGCTCACAGCTGTCGATTGCATAGGTGGGTTCAGTCTATGAAAATCATCAAGATGTTTACTTATAAACACTTTATACAAGATTATTGTAACCCAATAAAAAGTTTTCCAACTAAGCTTTAAAGTTTTGAAAGTATTACTGTGTTGTTTTGTGTTAATAAGATCTATTACATGTGGACCGGCCGGTATGGCTCAGTGGTTGAGTGTGGACCCATGAACCTGGAGGTCATGGTTTGATTCCTGGTCAGGACACATACAGGGTTTTGGGCCGAATCCCCAGTGGGAGGCATGCAGGAGGCAGTTGATCGATAATTCTCTCTCATCACTGATGTTTCTATCTCTCTATCCCTCTCCCTTCCTCTCTCAAATCAATAAAAACGTAATTAAAAAAAAAATCCATTACATGTGCCCTTACATAGGTCAAGCAAAGAAATAGACTAATGAAGTGAATAATAGTTTCATGAAGTTAAAACATGGCAGCAGTTCTCTTCTTTGGCGTTCCTGCAAGCAGATCCATCCTCCCCAAGACCAAAGGGCCACAGGTGGTATCACAGGCCAGTCAGAACCTTGGTAGGATGGTAATATGTCAGTGAGTGATGTGTAGGGCAGAATTAACTAATAATGCCAAGGGTCAGAGCCTCACTGTCGTTTCCTCTTAGTCTTTATTGAAGGTAAACAGAGATAAATGTTAAATGCCATCCTGACCCACGGAGATCAAATTAAGGCAGGAGATTGCAGGGAATCAGATATCTTGTTCTGACCTGTCACAAGCACTTACTCACATACAAACAAGAACAGGCCACACTCCTTTTTTTACCATCAGGTGCTTCTGGCTTTTAGACTTGTTAATTCTCTGCTTTTAGAGTCTAACCGCTGGCTGAGAGCCCATAGCACTGATGAAGTTAACAAAATTATTGACACGAAAATCTCACTGCCCAGGAGAAGCTGCTGCCTCCGGGCATGGAGAGTCAAATAGCTTATATCTTTTGTCCTTTAAAAACAGTATAAAAGAGCAGTTTGGGAGGCAGGAGACGGGGCAGCGGCCTGGCAGCCCAGGTTCGCCCAGACACTAGGCGCCCAGGCCCTCAGGCACCCAGCACACGCCCAGCCCGCCTCCACGATGCCCAACAGGAAGGTCAGCCCTGCGGAGGGGGCGGCCAAGGAGGAGCCCATGAGGAGGTCGGCCAGGTTGTCAGCCAAACCTACTCCTGCAAAAGTGGAAACGAAGCCCAAAAAGGCGGCAGGAAAGGATAAATCTGCAGACAAAAAAGTGCAAACCAAAGGGGAAAGGGGAGTAAAGGGAAAGCAGGCCCAAGTGGCTGACCAGGAACCTAAAGATTTACCTGCGGAAAACGGAGCAACTGAACACGAGGAGAGTCCAACCTCAGATGCAGCAGGAGAGAAAGAAGCCAAGTCTGATTAATATCATATATCATGTCTGATCAGTGGTCCCTGTCTCCCTTCTTATACAATCCAGAGGAATATTTTTATCAACTATTTTGTAAATGCAAGTTTTTCAGTAGCTCTAGAAACGTTTTTAAAGAGGAGGGAATTCCACCTCATCCCATTTTTTAAAAAGTGTAAATGCTTTTTTTTAAAAGAGGTGAAATCATTTGCTGGTTGTTTATTTTTTTTGGTACAACCAGAAAATAGTGGGATACTGAATATGGGAGACTTTGATTGTCTTGGGTGTCAGCTTAACATTCCATTGATGGGGGTAGTTTTTATATCCTTTATTACAAAGCATACTAACTGGCAATTTGGAGTCAGTCATGCATTTGCTATGTCTTGAACATTTTAAATTACTTCTATTCACATGTTTTTTGGTAGCATTGTTTCCTAAAAAAAAAAACCACTCCTTGATCTTGGCTCTCCCTGTCAGAATTCTGTGCATCTGTAACATCTTTGGTGGTAGTCCAGTTTTCCTAGTAACTTTGTCAGTGTGCTGTGAAAGATTGAAAATTTGATTATGTAGTATATATGCTATTAAATTGTGAATTAGTGGGACTTGGATGTAACAGCATATCAACATTTGAAGATATTGGTACTTGATACTCTACTAAGGAAAGTTAGCCTCTACATTTTAAGCTAGAAGGTCACTGGAATAACTGTTTAGAAAAGAATGACAACTACATGACTTTACATTTTTGGTACATATGCTAAGAATTGTGTACAAATTGATATGTGTGTGTACTGATCCTCAAGACAAACAAAATCTCAATTAGGAAAGAAAAAAATAAAAACAGTATAAAATAAGTCAGTTTCTTTTTTGTTGGTAGCCATGGAAACTAATCTCCAATATTTCAGTGACTGCATGATACTAAGAACAACATTCTTCAAGGGCATCTATTAATTTGCTTCACATTAAAAAACAATAAAACTAGGCTGACCTTCAAATTCAACCTGTAGATTTTCTATTATAAGTCCCATTGGTTTCAGACTATGTGGGGCCAGTTGAATAGCAGAGGCCCATGGGGGAAGACTGCTTGTCGTAGGAAAATTGGGAGGCTTGTTTTCTCGAGTCTCTCAGAGGCCTGTTCATTTCCTGTTTCCTACCACTTAGGTCTCCTTCCAGTGGTGCGTCTGCACGTCAATGTGGAACTGTGTCTTACGTCTGAAATGTTTCTTATGTCTGACCTTCCTGACCTTTTAAAGGCTTCTGTCTCCATCCCAGAATCCCCAAGGAACCTGCCTGTGAGGATGCATTCACTCTGAATGGTCACGGTTAGGCTGATCTAGTTGCCTAATATGGTTTCTGAAAAGCTTAGGGGATCTTATGCCAATTAAATTTCATCAGAAGTTTCTCCAAATCTAACTGCACAGCATTGCCAGCTTCTCTTCTTGTTCCCTCTGAAACGATTGATATAACCCTTTCCTGTCAATGCAGTTTGTTTGGAGAACTGTCTAGGTAAGGATTACTGCGAGGCTTCCAATGACAGTTGCAGGGAACTTGGTCCCAGGTGACGTCATCTACCAACTGAGTCTCAAATGGGGGTTCAGGACACGGTTGTGGAGCAGAGCACCTGCCAGCACAAGCCTGCATCGGCGATTTAAAGCCACAAGGAATATAGTCAATAATATTGTATGATGTCAGATGGATATCACACTTATTGGGGGATCATTTAATAATGTACATAAATGTCGCCCTAACTGGTTTGGCTCAGTGGATGGAGCGTCGGCCTGCAGATTGAAGGGTCCTGGGTTCGATTTTGGTCAAGGGCACATGCCTGGGTTGCGAGCTCCATTCCCCAGTAAGGGACACGCAGGAGTCAGCCAATCAATGACTCCCTCTCATCATTGATGTTTCTATCTCTCTCTCCCTCTGAAATCAATAAAAACATATTTTAAAAAAAGGTACATAAATGTCTAATCACTGTTATATGTCTGAAATAATATAATATTATATTGTATTTTTTAACTATAATGAAGAGATAAATTTAAAAAATAATCAAAAAAGACAAGGTAAAGCCACTCCCTGGTGAAGTCAGGACAGGGCAGGGGTGAGGGGGTCAACCATTCAGAAGGTGGCAGAGGTGCTGGCGGCAGGCAGAAGGCAGAAACCACCAGAGGAAGGAGTGCACCTGGGCAAAGGACTCCTCTCTCTCCCACCACAAGCTGACGAGGCCACTGGCCCGCCCAGCCCATCATCCTGAGCTTGCGCATACTTGGGTGTGTGGAGCACCTTTATTTTCTCCTCACCTTTCACATTTGCAATCTGGCTGAGATGAAGAGACCTTATTTTTTCTTTAATTTGAGAATCCTAGCTGTTATTTTAGGGTGTCCACATGTCCCTTCCACTCCCAGGTGGTACTATAAAATAGGCAGTTCTGGATTTGGAGAGGCAAGGGTCTGACTAAGATGCGAAGCACTTTTTTGGAAGCGTATTGAAATCTTTGTATTCTTCTGGGACAGACGCTCTCAATCGCGTGGTCACAGTTTTACGACATGGTATAATTCTTTACTTGATTCAGCATGGTTTTATTCCCTTCAAAAAAATCCATCTGATGGAAGCCGGTTCCCTTAGGTCTGGTTCTCCCAGAAGTGGACTCTGAGTCAAGGATTCAAGTACAAGCGATTTATTGAGGAAAGGCTCATAGGTGGCACCAATAGGTGAATGAATGGAAAGACAGCATCGGCCTGGAGCTCCAAAGAGTAAATTATGCCACAGAGCATGTCTTCCTTTGAGACAAGGAAGCTGGGCTTTTTGAACTCCCAAACCAGCCCATCACTGGCCTCAGGCCAAAGGGAAAGGTAGGAGGGCATGTGGCCACAGGGGCTATAAAATTCCCAGGTACCGATGGCTCTCTATTTGGGCTGACCAGCCTCTAATACTTGGTCACAGATGCCAGCTGTTGGCTGCAGAGCACTTAGCTGGGGGCGAGGCACACAGCTGGCAAGACAGACCAGAACAGACCTGGGTGGTGTACTGACAGTGGCCTGCTCTCACCACCAGGCACCAGTTATGGGTCTCCCATCACGTTCTGCTGCAAGAGGAAACGAACAATGTCTTTGGAAAGTCCTGGGGTCGGCTTTTCGTCATCCAGAGACTGACTTCCTTCTCCCAGCGGGTAGAATCGGGCGTCCCTGGAATACCTCTGTAACAAGGAGCAGCCATCCCGGTTGAAAATGACGCGGGCCATTTGAAAACTGCGGAGGGCGTACTTCTGGCTCTCCTGGCCCTGCAGTTCGTCGATTTTCTGAGACAGGCACTGGCAGACAGATGCAGAGAGTGGGTTTCGAGAGGCTGGTGGTGGGTGGCCAAACATCTCATAGAGTCTATCCAGGGATTTCCGAAGTTCCTCATCCTCTGCCTTCGTCTCTGGTTGGCCATTCACAGAAGGGTCGACCCAGAAGTTCTCAGAGGCCCAGGAGTCACGTTGTGTAGTGTTTAGGTGACCGCTGTCTGTAAGACAAACACATCCCAATACTCAAACACATACTCAAAAATATCAGAAAGCCGGCCCAAAGTAGGTGATGTCTCTTGCTAATGCAACACACTTACTGCTCCTGGGTAATGGGCAATCGGCAGAATCAGATGATTTCTGAATCTGTTCCCACCGTCCTGGGGGTATGCCACTTGTTTGCCCAAAACAAGAACATGTTTCAGGGGTTCCTAACCTGAGGTCCTTGTAAAGAAGTTCAGAGTGGCTGTGAACTTGGATGGAAAAAATATCATATCTTTATTTTCACTAACCTCTACCTAAAATCACGCATTTCCTTCCATGATGAATATAGGCAATAAACCCATTAGCAGCAATACGTCTGACTTTATCACCAGTAGATCACAGCTATTTTCATATCACATTATAGTTTATTGAACATGTTTTGAAATATCACGTATGCCCATCACTATGCTATGGACTGAACTGTGTTTCTCCAAAATTCATATGTTAAAGTCCTAATCCTTAAAGGAGATGGGCCTTTTAAGAGGTTACTAAGATTAAATGAGGTCATAAAGGTGGGGCCTCAATCAGATAAGATTGGTGGACTTCTAAGAAGAGGAAGGCCTCTCTCATTTTTCTTTCTCTCTCCCCCCCTCTCTCATCATGTGAAGGAACTGAGGAAAGGCCATTGAGGATACAAGAAGGAGGCCTTCTCCAAGCCAGGGAGAGAGTCCTCACCACACCTGACCATGCTGATTCCCTGCCTCGGACTTCCAGTGTCCAGAACTGTGAGAAAATAATTTCTTTTGTTTAATCCATTCAGTTTATGGTATTTTGTTATGGCAGCCCAAGTAGACTAAGACAACCACTATGAAATCACCACAGTTATTGGTCCTGACGCTAGATCTTATTATTTAAACATTAATTTAAAAAACATATATTCATTACAATATCACACATTTTGTTCTTTACGTATTTTAATAGCTATGTTTTAGTGTTTTCATTTGGTAAGCCTATATGTTTTACTTCATGCAGTTAAAAACTTTATTCTGCGTTCATGGGCTCCACCAGATCCCAAAGGGATGCACTGCACAGACACAGTGCAGACCCCCAATGCAGACAGTTCTGGGCTTTTACACAGCTCAGATATTTCTTTACTCCCTACATAATCCTATAGACTCTTTATCTCTCAATTAAAACCACCTTTTTGTTTTTTAAAGGAAGAGTAACAAATAAACTAAGAGATTTAATAATAGACAGTAAGAAACCAGAATTGGAGCCAAATCCTAGTTCTTGACCTAACTTTCTGTACCTCTCTGGGCACCCTAATTCTTAACATAGGAATCTCTTAAGTCTTTTGAAACAAAGAACTTTCATATCATTTTTTCTAGAAAAAATTTTGCACAAATAATTTGTAAGTGGCTGAATTCCTTATACAGCCACCAGCTTTATGCTTTAAACTGTTATACTTTAAATCAAAATAATATATTTTCCCTTTTTTGCTCTAATATATGCTGTAATTAATTACTAGCTTTAATTCTACACACCCACTCCCCATCCACTTACTCAATTAGTAGTTATAATAAAAATGTTGGTATCCTGGCCGCTGTGGCTCAGGTAGAGTGTTGGCCCACACACCAAAGGGTCTTGGGTTCGATTCCCAGTCAAGGGCACGTGCTTGGGTTGCAGGTTCAATCTCTTAGCCCCTGTTGTCCTGCCTTATGGCCCCCGGACCGATCATCTGTGGGGAAGCAGATGGGTAGGGACCCCTCACCCCGCCACTGCAGGACCTTCGCCCCTTCCCTTGGCTAACAGGAGTACCATTTGTTAGGCGAATACTATTTGCCAAGCCCTGCGCTAAGTCTGTTGTTTGTTTGTTTTAATAATAAAGTAGGCCACCGAAAGAAGTTTTACAGTTACTCTCCAGAGGTTTGTTTTAATTTTTTTCTTGAAATGATCTCAAACTCATAGAAAACTTGCAAGCACAATACAAACAACTATTTCTCATTAATTATTTGCCAACCTGATGCCCACCCTGATTTTCCTACCAGCAAGGACATTCTTCCACATAACCCCAACGCAACCATCAACATCAGGAAATTAACAGGGACAACATTACTGCCATCTAATCCTAGCCCCCATCAAGCGGTCCCGATCATGTTCTTTGTAGCAAAAAGGTCTGGTTGAAAATCCTGTGTTGTGTTTAGTTGTCAGTGGGAAGAATGAAAGGGAGAAGGAGATGCTCCATAGTAACACCGGGGAAGTTGGAGAGTTCCTGACACTGCCCACCCGAGGCAGCATCTATACAGAACATTCCAAGGAGTGTAGCATGTAGTTGTTAACTGGTCAACAACTTTGATATGCAGGATTTTAAGTTTTCATCGGAGCTTCATTATTATACTTAATGTTTGAAATTAGGTGTCCTAAACTCAGTGTCCAAAAGAATCCAAAAAAATTAGCCTGTTTTCTCTATTTTTCTTGCAAATGTCAAGCAGACTGCAATTCATCTTCAAAGGCACCCAGCTCCCCCCAATCTCTTTCCAAAGAGCAATAACAATATGGGTTGAATAAGTCACTGCTTCAGTCAGTTCTTTTGAACCTGCCTCCAGCTCATTTCAGTCTTTGATTTCCTTTTAAAATTTGCATTACTGCCAACTACAAAGCCATCTCTTTAATCATGTGTCTGGTGTGGCCTTTTGGACATCACTGTTTCTTCACCAGCAAATAAAGCTAATTGCTTCTCTTTTTCCTAATGCACTAAATGTACACAGAAGGATGGATCTTTGATAACTTGGTCAGTTGCTGCCCAATGTTGCATTCTCACAGCTATGTTCAAGCCCCACCATATTCTACCTGTTGATATAGCCCTGCCTTATAGGGCTCTCAGCTTGGGACTATAATGTCTACTCTAGGGAGAGACTGGGGACGTTTTTGTGCCAGTGATTGGAAAATGCTACTTGCATTTAGTGATGGGGTCAAGGATATAAATATCCTACAAGTTAGAATAGTGATTTTCAACCGGCATGCTAGAAGAATTGTTAAAACATGCAATACCAGCCCTAACTGGTTTGGCTCAGTGGATAGAGCGTCGGCCTGCGGACTCAAGGATCCCAGGTTTGATTCCGGTCAAGGGCATGTACCTTGGTTGAGGGCACATCCCCAGGAAGGGGTGTGCAGGAGGCAGCTGATCGATGTTTCTCTCTCATCGATGTTTCTCTCTCATCGATGTTTCAAACTCTCTATCCCTCTCCCTTCCTCTCTGTAAAAAAAGATCAATAAAATATATTTTTAAAAAACAACAAACAAACAAACAAACAAACAAACAAACAAACAAAAAAACATGCAATACCTGACTATTTAGTCAGGAGCACTGACCTCTTTCCCCTGAGATTGTCAAATATAAAAATGACAACAGTCAACACAGCAACAGTTGACTGGTGTGAATGAATCAAAATTATACCATTTTTTGGTCAGATTGGCAAAAAATATACTTCTTGGTGTGCTGCAGAATTTTAGTTATTAGTTTATGTGTGCCACGGGATGAAAAAGGTTGAAAATCACTGATGTAGAGGATAATTCCATAAACCAAGAATCATAATGTCCCCAAATTCCAGTAGTGCCCCTTACTCTCTCAGGAACTCTGGCTCAAGGATGGATTGTGGAAGGAGTGGGAAGTGAAGGCTGAATCCTACTGCATCGCAATATATTGATTCGCCCTGTGCTCGCCTTTGCTGTTGATTCTTGCACAATGGATTTCTTGCTGGTACCCATTCGCATTATGCATTCCTGCCTTCTCAGATTTTGAGTTTTTTTGTGTGTTTTTTTCCTAAGCAAGGGCCTAACCACCAATCCTAATTCTGGCATTCCTTAAATTGGACGGAACCTCCCTTTTCATTTCAATAGGCTTTCAATTACAAAGAAAGTTTCTTTAGGAATCACTAAGAAGAGAAGGAGGACAGGGCTTTCTATGACAATGCTTTTGCATGCACTGTGTTAAGGCCACCTATCTACCAGAACATCTGTTTCTTAACTCTTCTTTTTTGTAATCCTCACCCAAGGACATGCTTTTATTGATTTTAGAGAGATAGTAGGGGAGAGGGAGAGAGAGAGAGAAACATCGATGTGAGAGTGAAACATTGACTGGCTGCCTCCTGCACATGCTCCTACTGGGGACTGAACCCGCACCCTTCAGTGTATGTCAAACCCGAGGCCTGTAGGCTGCATGTGGCCCACAATAAATATTTTTGCAGCCCAGCCAATATAACGATATGTGAGAAATGTTTTAATAAAAATCTCATAACTTAACTTTTACAATATCCTGTTATACATAATTATTAATAATGAACTACAACGTTCGCTAATGACTGATTACTATAATCGTGTTGCATTCATTTCCCTTAGGCACCTTAAGTGCAGGCACACCATTTCTTTCCACTAATACTTAGCAGCGAATATTTTAGCAGCCAATTGCCATGTCATTAGTCTAGGACTGGCTTGTTTGGTGTGCGCAACAGGAAATATTTCGCTTTCGGAGAACAAGAAAAATAAGTTTATTTGTGTTATGCTTATTAATTTGTGCAGTTATTCAGTGTCTGGTAAGTTAATGTTCAAGAAAAAACATTATTTTTTATTAAAATGTTCTATTTTTTAAAATATATTTTATTGATTTTAGAGAGGAAGGGAGAGGGAGAGAGAGATAGAAACATCAATGATGAGAGAGAATTATTGATTGGCTGCCTCCTGCATACCCCCTACTGAGGATCGAGCCAGCAACCCAGGCATGTGCCCTTGGCCAGAATCGAACCTGGGACTCTTCAGTCCGCAGACCGAAGCTCTAGCTATTGAGCCAAACCAGATAGGGCTAAAATGTTCTATTATTTTATGTTAACGATTACTCAGCCCTTTGTATTCAGCATGTCTCTATCGAAATAAATCTACGTTTCTATGAAAATTGAAGCTTTTGTTCTTTTGTGGCCCACATAATCTTAAACCTTGTTTATTTGGCCCGTGTTAGCCTTTG